CTTATTGAACCCTATAGCTTGGCTTACCTTAAACATGCTCAGAACACTTACATTAGTCTATTGTTGGGCAAAACAATCTAACAAAAGCCTGTTTATTTTTATTTTTTGCATTACAATTCTTATTACACATATATACCACAATTTTTCATATCTCTGTTTGTATATAAAGTATGTTGACACCCAATTCATGTCTTCATAAATGTACTTTGGATAATGATGTCCATCACATTCCACCATTTTTGCTAATCCTCTGCCCCCTCCCTTTCCTTCCCACCCCTATTCCCTATCTAGAATTCATCTATTTCTTCCATGCTCCCGCCTCCCTACCCCACTATGAGTCAGCCTCCTTATCTCAGAGAAAACATTTGGCATTTGGATTTTTGGGATTGGCTAACTTCACTTAGCATTATCTTCTCCAACACCATCCATTTACCTGCAAATGCCATGATTTTATTCTCTTTTAATGCTGAGTAAAATTCCATTGTGTATATAAGCCGCATTTTTTTAATCCATTTATCTACTGAAGGGCATCTAGGTTGGCTCCACAGTTTAGCTATTGTGAATTGTACTGCTATAAACATTGATGTGGCTGTGTCCCTGTAGTATGCTCTTTTTAAGTCCTTTGGGTATAGACTGAGAAGAGGGATAGCTGGGTCAACTGGTGGTTCCATTTCCAGATTTCCAAGGAATTTCCATACTGCTTCCCGTGGAAGATGGAAAGATCTACCTTGCTTTTTTTTTTTTCTACCTTGCTTTTGGATAGGCAGAATTAATATTATCAAAATGACCATACTACCAAAAGCACTATACAGATTTAATGTAATTTCGATCAAAATCCAATGGCATTCCTCATAGAAATAGAAAAAGTAATAATGAAATTCATCTGGAAAAATAAGAGACCCAGAATAGCTAAAACAATCCTTCGCAGGAAGAGTGAAGCAGGTGGCATCACTATACCAGACCTTAAACTATATTACAGAGCAATAGTAACAAAAACAGCATGCTATTGGCACCAAAACAGACTGGTAGACCAATGGTACAGAATAGAGGACATAGAGACTAACCCACAAAATTACAATTTTTTTTTAAAGAGAGAGAGAGATGAGAGAGAGAGAGAGAGAGAGAGAGAGAGAGAGAGAGAGAATTTTTAAATATTTATTTTGTAGTTTTCAGCGGACACAACATCTTTGTTTGTATGTGGTGCTGAGGATCGAACCCGGGCCGCACGCATGCCAGGCGAGCGCGCTACCGCCTGAGCCATATCCCCAGCCCACAATTATCTTATAGTAGACAAAGGCACCAAAAATATGCATTGGAGAAAAGATAGCCTCTTCAACAAATGGTGCTGGGAAAACTGGAAATCCATCTGTAACAAAATGAAATTAAACTCCTATCTCTCACCATACATAAAACTTAACTCAAAATGGATCAAAGACCTAGGAATTAAACCAGAGACTCTGTGTCTAATAGAAGAAAAAGTAGGCTTTAATTTTCATCATGTGGGATTAGGCCCCAACATCCTTAATAAGACTCCTATAGTGTAAGAATTAAAACCACGAATCAATAAATGGGATGGAATCAAACTACAAAGTTTCTACTCAGCAAAAGAAACAATCTGAGAGGTGACAGAGAGCCTACATCCCGAGGGGCAAATTTTTACCCCTCACACATCAGATAGAGCCTAAACTCTAGAATAAATAAATAACTCAAAAAGCTAAGCACTAAAAAAAGCAAATAACCCAATCAATAAATGGGCCAAGGACCTGAACAGACACTTCTCAGAAGAGGATATACAATCAATCAACAAATATATGAAAAAATGTTCATCATCTCTAGCAATTAGAGAAGTGCAAATCAAAACCAGTTTACATTAATTATTGACCATCTCATGCAATTTATGGAATACTGTGCTGAAAATACAAGTCTAAAAATTAGTAAAATAAATTTACAAGCTAGAATTTAATATTCATCTATTGTAAAGAGTTTTAATGGACTCCACACCTTAATTTCTTTATAACGAAAAAGGACTTCTAAATTTTTAAAAAATACAATAAAATGTTATCTATGGTTGAAAAAATGAATTAAAAAATCTTAGGGGCTGGGGATGTGGCTCAAGAGGTGGCATGCTCACCTGGCACGCATGGGGCGCTAGGTTTGATCCTCAGCACCACATAAAAATAAAATAAAGATGTTGTGTCTACCAAAAACTAAAAAAAATAAAGATATAAATATTAAAAATTCTCTCTCTCTCTAAAAAAAAATCCTAGTATTTTTTTTTTTTTGAGACTATTGTGAATGGGATAGTTTTCATAATTTCTCTTTCAGTGGATTCATCACTGACGTATAAAAATGCATTTGACTTATAGGTGTTGATTTTATATCCTGATACTTTGCTGAATTCATTTATTAGCTCTAGGAGTTTTCTGGTGAAATTTTTTTGGATTTCTAAATTTAGAATCATGTTGTCAGCAAATAGTGATAATTTGAGTTCTTCTTTTCCTATTTGTATTCCTTTAATTTCTTTTGTCTGTTTATTCTGGCTAGAGTTTCCAGGACTATGTTGAATAGAAATTGTGAAAGAGGGCATCCCTGTCTTATTCCAGTTTTTAGAGGGAATGCTTTCAATTTTTTCCATTTAAAATGATGCTCGGCTTGGTATGTTCCTACTCTCCCTGTTTTTTCTAGTGTTTTGAACATGAAGAGGTGCTGTATTTTGTCAAACACTTTTTTTCTGCATTTATTGAGATGATCATATGATTCTTGTCTTTAAATCTATTGATGTGATGAATTATGTTTATTGAATTTTTTTATATTGAACCACCCTTGCATCCCTGGGATGAACCCCATTTGATCCTGGTGCATTATCTTTTAATATGTTTTAATATGTGATTTTCCAGTATTTTATTGGGAATTTTCACATCTATGTTTATCAGGGATATTGGTCTGAAGTTTTCTTTCTTTGATGTGTCTTTGTCTGGTTTGGGTATCAGGGTGATACTAGCCTTATAGAATGAGTGTGGAAGGGTTCCCTCCTTATCTATTTCATGGAATAATTTGAGGAGTACTGGTGTTAATTCTTCTTTAAATGTCTTGTAGAACTTGGCTGATAATCTGTCTGGTCCTTGGCTTTTCTTGGTTGGTAAGCTTTTGATAGTATCTTCTATTTTATTGCTTGAAATTGATCTATTTAAATTGTGTATTCCCTCTTGATTAAGTTTGGGTAGTTCATATGTCTCTAGAAAAGTGTTGATGTCTTTGAGATTGTCTGCTTTATTGGAGTATAAATTTTCAATAGTTTCTAATTATTTTCTGCATTTCAGTAGTGTTCATCATTTGGAAAAATAAGAGACCCAGATTAGCCAAAGCATTCATTAGCAAATAGGAGGCATCACAATATATCAGACCTTAAAGTATACTACAGAGCAATAATAGCAAAAATGGCATAGTAATTGGCACCAGAATATACATGTAGACCAATGGCACAGAATAGAAGACACAGACACAAACCCACATAAATACTGTTATCTGATACTAGACAAAGGCACCAAAAAAAGATACATTAGAGAAAGAATAGCCCATTCAACAAATGGAGCTGGGAAAACTGGAAATCCATATGTAGAAAAATGAAATTAAACCTTTATCTCTCACCCTGCATTAAAATGAACTCAAAGTGGATCAAAGACTTAGGCACTAGAACAGAGTCCCTGTGCCCAATAAAGGGAAAAGTAGGACCAAATCTCCACCATGATGGCTTAGGAACTGACTTCCCTAACCAGACTCTTAAAGGGCAAGAGTAAAAGCAAGACTCAATAAATGGGATGGATTCAAACTAAAAAGCTTCTTCTCAGCAAAAGAAACAATCAATAACATGAAGAGAGAGCCTAAAGAATGGAAGAAAATCTACCACAAGCACATCAGATAGAGCACTAATCTCCAGCATGTATAAAGAACTCAAAAAACTTAATACTAAAAAAACAAATAACCCAATCAATAAATGGGCTAAGGAACTGAACAGACATTGCACAGAAGAAGAAATACAATTGATCAACAAACATATGAAAAAATGTTTAACATCTCTAGCAATTAGAGAAATGCAAATCAAAACTAAGATTTCATCTGACTCCAGTCAGAATAGCAATTATCAAGAATACAAGCAACAGTAAGTGTTGGTGAGGATGTGGGAGAAAAGGGACACTCTTAGATTGCTGGTGGGACTGAAAATTGGTGCAACCACTCTGGAAAGGAGTATGGAGATTCCTTAGAAAACTTGGAATGAAACCACTATTTGACCCAGCTATCCTACTCCTTGGTTTGTACCCAAAGGACTTAAAGTCAGCATACTATAGTAATGCAGCTACATCAATGATTATAGCAACTCAATTCACAATAGATAAACCAATTAAATGCTCTTTAACAGATGACTGGATAAAGAAAATTGTGGTACATATGCATAACTGAATATTACTCACCCTTAAAGAAGATGAAATTATGGCATTTACAGGCAAATGGATTGAGCTGGAGAATATCATTCTAAGTAAAATAAGCCAAATGCCCAAACCCAAAGCCTAAATGTTTTATCTGGTAAGTGAATGCTACTCCATAATGGGCAGGGGTGGGGAATAATAAAGGAACTTTGGATTGTACAAAGGGGAGTGAGGGGAAGGGATGGAGTATGGGGATGGGAAGGATGGTGGAATGAGATGGACATTATTACCCGATATACATGTATGTTTACACCATTGGTGTGACTCTACACAATGTTCAGCCAGAGGAAGGAGAAGTTATGCTCCATTTGTATACAATGTGTTACAATGCATTCTACTGTCATGTATAACTAATTAGAACAAATTAAAAAATAAAAAAATAGGGCTGGGGATGTGGCTCAAGTGGTAGCGCACTCGCCTGGCATGCGTGCGGCCCGGGTTCGATTCTCAGCACCACATACAAACAAAGATGTTGTGTCTGCCGATAACTAAAAAATAAATATCAAAAGTTCTTACTCTGGCATCAGGGTTATCATCAAATTGTGTTCTGATAAATGTATCAAAAGAATCCCAATGATTTTCATTTAGGTTTCCACCCAAAGACCATAAGTAACAGAATACAAATGTCTGGCATAGCACAGTGTTCAATTTCACTTGTTCCTAAAAAATAAAGAAAATAGTTTTAATATTTCATAAATAAACATAAGAAAAATCTTAAGTTGTACCACATATGTTTAATGGCTCACAAAATGGAATTTTCTTATCTACATAATTAAATATTGAAGAGACAATGAATGAAAAGGCATATGTAGGAAGAACAGCTCAAAGTTGTCTTTTAGCTGCCTATTATAACTTTTCTAAATGCATGCATAAAGTTATTTAAGCAGATTGAGACTATGTTGTACACTGCATGTGAATTGAAAATTGAGTAGAGGACTAAACTATAGGACCTCTAACATTTCTTCTAACTTTGAGCTTCTTTGAAACTAATAATAGTCATTACTTCTCTGAAAAATTAACTTGAAAATCAATGACCTATATTTCAGAAAATTTAGAGTTAATTATTTGCAAAGAATCTATACAATATTTCATTTTCTTAGCTTCACAACAGTAAGAAAACCCTTCATACCATTGTCAAGTTAATTCCATCTTTTCCCAATATCAAAGACTCTAATAAGCAACAGAGGGTAGTAACTTTGCTGATGTCCACTTGTGGGATTGCTTGGGTGCACTTTTTGTTGATAAAATGTAAACCTTCATCAACATAACGTTGGAAAAGGTTCAATATATATTCTTGGGCTTCCTCATTCAGCTAAAAATGAAACAAATAAATAAAAGTTTAACAAAATCAGATGAAACATATCATTATGTTTAGAAAGGAGTTGGCTAAAATCCATATATTCAATGCATTCAGTAACCTTTAGACCCGAGGATATAAGCATCATAAAGTATGAAACAAATTTTAAGGGAACCTTATATGGTTAGGAAGGAACACAGGAAAGAATTACTGGAGAGTTGAAAACATTCTACTTCTTGGTTTGATAATGGGTACAGAGGTGTTCATTTTATAATTATTTCTTAAACTGCCAATACATATTTCATGCACTCTTCTTTACTGACAACCTTTTATAATTAAAAACAATTAAAAAAGAAGAAACACAGAAGATATCATTTAAGTATCTCCCTGTCAGGCAAAAAGGAATAATTTCCAAAGATTTAAAAATGAATTCAGCCCCCTTAACAGTCTTATTCAACTAGAAGCCCTAGCTAATGCAATAGAGCAATAAAAGGAAATAAAAGTCATACAGATTGGAAAGAAAGAAGTAAAACACTTTGTTCACAGATGTCATGATTGTCTATATATAAAATCTACCCCCAAATAACAAAACAAAACTGGAACCAATAATGATAGTAAGTTTGCCCGATATAGGTTAATATAAAGAAGTCAAGTATAAATGAAAAATATGTGGAATTTGAAATAAAAAATATAACATGATTATATATTAGCATTAAAAATGAAATAACTTTAAATCCAATAAAACATGTACTAGATCTACATGAGAAAAACTACAGTGCTCTGATAAAAGAAGCCAAATAGACCTAAATAAATGAACAGATAAACCATGTTCATATCTAGGAAGATTAGTGTTAAGATGTCAGTTTCTCTAAATTTCACCTATAAATTCAACAATCAAATTCCTAGCAAATTTCTTTATAGATACTGAAAAACTGATTCTAAAGTTTATACAAAAAGGCAAACCCCCCAAATCACCAAAACAACCCTGAAGAACAAAGCTGAAGTTCTGACAAAACCCAACTTCAAGATTTAGTATAAAGCTATAATAACAAGACGTGGAAAAAGGATTAAAAAATAGATCAATGGAACAGAATAGAGCTCAGAAAGATGCCTGTACAAATATGGTCAACTTATTTTTGACAAAGAGCAAAGGCCATTGCAATGGAGAAAGATAGTTCCCTCTAGTCCATCTCCTCATTTATCACCATCCCCCCTTATCTCTTTCTCTTTCCTTTCTCTTCTTTCTCTTGCTCTAATTCATCTTTGGAGTGGGAGAGGCAGAGAAGAAGATTGTTCCCTTGGAGAAGTAATGGGATAGTGAGAATTATTATAAATGTTAAAATGTTGTTAAGGTAAAGAAAAAATCCTATTTTAGAATGCAGGAAATTCAGAGGCTAGCATGGAACTGAGTTGTTTTGGATAATAATGTATAGGATTTCCTTCATTTGGAGTGGAACTATAAATCTGAGGTCAGAATGTGTCATGGGTCTTGCACCTATGACAAGGGTGGAAACTTTTCTTTCCTTTCTGGCTCTCAGAGGTGTTGGGGGTTCCTAAAATATAAAATCCAGTTAGTGTTTGTATTTAACAGTTCTTTTTATTCATAGTGATTTCCTCTTTTTACCCTTGTGCCTTCTGCAAAGCCTTTCCATGGTTCAGTCTTATTCTATCTGTATTTTTAGGGACTCAGGAAGTGGCTTGTGTTTCTACTGTCAGAAGGCAGGAAGAGCAGACTGGAAGCAGAGTGACTCTGCAGGCTGGCAGGCTGAGGTAACAAGTAATGAGGAAAGACTTGGGGAGTATATAAACATTCCTGGAAGACCCAGGAATTCTTAGGGAGAAGGACAAAATAAAATTTCCTCAACTGAGAACAATGCTGCTATAACCTACTGCTATTTGTACACTCTGGGGAAGTGTGAGCCCCAACAGATGAAGATACTGGGAAACATCTGGTTGCACATTTGATTGCACTTACCTTTTTAGAAACCCGCTTCATCCATGTTTTAACATAAGGCATCCATTTTAGTTCTTCGGGATCCACAAACACCATTCCACATCGACTGACTGTTGCAGGAGAGGCAACCTTTAGATCTTGCACCTAAAATTGAAAAAAGTTGAACAGGAAATAGCTAATTATACTTTCTTATTCATCCAATTTCAGTGGTAGTGATTCAGACCTTTTAAAGTTTAACACCAAAAGGCTTCATGTGGAGGACAGTGGGAGGGCAATAAGTAATACGAAATGGAGAAGCAAATGTAAGTGAGGCATAGGGTAAAAAAAATGAGTGTAGGAGGAAATTGTCAAATCCTTATGGGCAAGAGCTGGGTGTAGTGGCACACACCTGTAATCCCAGCAATTCAGGAGGCTGAGGCAGGAGGATTACAAGTTCAAAACCAGTTTGGGCAATTTAGTGAGGTCCTGTCTCAAAGAAGGAAAAAAAAAAGAGCTGGTGGTGTAGCTCAGTAGTAAAGCATCCCTGGGTTCAATCCCCAGTATAGGAAAAAAATATCAGAAGGAATAGGCATTTATTTATTTTTCTTTTCTTCTCTTTACTTTTCTCATTCTTGTGTCCCAATAGCTAGCCAAATTCATAGTACACAGTGGACATTTAATCAGTAATTAATGAATGACTAGACCTTGAGTGGTCTCTTCCATATTTTGTAGCAGTATTTGGTTCCACATCCTTTCTCTAATTTCTTGCCAAACATTCATACCACAGTAGGATAATTTATTCATATAAAATAATATTGTTTAATGAGGAAAAATTTCAAAGAAACCAAGTGCTAGGAAAACCAGAATTAATTCTATTTCCCATTTATAGAGACAGGAACATTTAAGAAGCTTTTTCAGGATTGGCAACTATTTCAAAAGGATAATTTAATAGGTACTTATTAAGTAAACAAAATAGCACAGATGGTAAATTATACATCAGTAAAAAAATTAATGATGGCATGCCAATTTTAAGGAATGATTTCATTCCACAGTAAGTCATACATTTACCTCAAAGAGCATGTGGATCTGAGGTGTGAGTTTAATCCTTTCACTGTTAGCCAGGCAAAGCATCTTGTTATCATCCAATACTGTATTTAAGTTTTCAATCCAAAGAGCATCCACTGGTCCATCACTGATGATCCATTTATGGTCTTCTGAAGTATCATTCACAGCTGCTCGGACACTTAGTGCCATCAAACCATCTTTCCATTCTAAGGTTATGTTATTAACTTCACCATATAATTCACCCATGGTGATTGATTTAGGATTAAGAACATACGTTTTAACTGCTTGATAAAAAGGATTGCCTAAATCAAGTTTTCGTAAATTCCCTAAAGTTTCTGCTAGTATTTGGTAAACTGTGGTCTTGCCACCTCCTGTTGGCCCAACTAACATAACACCATGCCTCACAAGCATAGTTTCATAGAACTGTATCACTTTTTCAACCATACAGATTTCAGGCTGAAGGTTTTTTCCATTCATGACATCCACAATTGTTGACTGCAAAATACCATAGTCATGTTCTGGAATTTGGACTCCAGGAAAAAGATCGGATATGATTCCACTGAGAAAACAAAAATAAAATTTATTAGGAAGCAGTGGTAATTGATACTTTCTCATATTTCTACAATTACTTGATTCTTCTGAATATGCACAATATTAGTTTGTCCTATATGCTGTAACAGAAGCAATCATTTTTCTCTGATATCTCGTATAATTTTGTTTCCTGTACAGTAGACCAATGTTCTTAATATAATAGGAACTCTCTGAGGATATGCAATATGTCTTATGTTTCTGTATTGCTAATAGTATGTGGTATGGTACCGAACACATAGAAGGTGATAAATTTATAAATTTATTTTAAAAATTATATTTGTGTCTCAACTTTTTCCAAATGTATTTACCTACACTTATAACTATATATAGATATTCAGAAAAGTAGATGAGAATTTAAGTAGACAATGAATACGGGGTAAAAAAGGGAGAAAGGGAAAAGTTGGCTGTTTCTTTGAGGAACATTTTTAAGGGAATGTTTGTATGGGAGAAAAGAAATTAAATCTCTACCTTATATTTTATACACAAATACACTTGATATACAGTAAAGACCTTACATAAAGTGACAAAAGTATAAGGTGAAAGTGTGGAAAAAATGAATTTTGCTATATTGTGGTAAGGAGATCTAAGAAACACAGGAAGTCTACAACTGAAAAAAAATGTTGATAGAGTGAAAACATAAAACCAAACAGACAAAAAATATATTTATATGAGATTAAAGGCTTTATACATAAACTTAAAGAATGAATCAGAGACTTGTATTTTTCCAATGTTTATGTCAGATCAAGGTTATGAGTTCTTACAAGAAAAGAGCACAATAAAAACATGCTTTAAGGATATTAAATGTATAAGGTTGTGGACGTGAAGGAAGATGGCAGAAGTGAGCTAGGCAGTGAGTCCTGATCTTATCACAACACAGAAAGGAGGCAGTAAAGGAAAAGCAGAATTGAGAGGTAGGTGGCAAAATAAATCCTCTAAGTATCATCATTACAAAGTTTGAGACCTGAAGGGACTGGAAGATAGGTTACCAGAGTAGATAAAAAACTCAGAACTTGACCCGAAACTGAAGGGCACCAGAGAGAGAAAGGGTGGGGAGCGGACATTCTTTTAAGCTCACTCACTTAAAAACTGTTGAAAAGACCAAATTTAAACTGCAATGGTAATATAGAAGGCTTCTTAAACAGTACAAATAGCTTAAAACCAAATTGTGTAAAGAGCTGGGAATCTGCAACCAGCTAAGTTCTTAAATCAGCATGGTGACTTCCCATGCCCAGACAGCTGCAAATTAAAGCAGAGGGAAGCCCCCTGCAGTGGGACCTCTTATAAATCCATCCAGAAAGAACTTCTATAAGGACCACTACTAGCCATAAATTGCAGAAACCCCCACCCTCTTTCCCTCCCTACATAGCATTCACTCCGTTGCTTGACTAAGACAACAATGAAGCATCTTTGGCCTCCCAAAAAGGAAAATAGATTCACCAGGCCTCAGTCACTGACAACGTGGGGAGGCACTGTGGATACCTGTAGGACCTTGCATCAGATTTAGAAAACATAGAGAATCAATTCCGGCCATTCACAGCCCAGGGCAGCAGAAATGAGAATCCAAGTGAACCACTGGAAACCCTTCAGACAGTACCTCAGAGAGCAACATCAGCCAGGGTAATACCTCTGTACCACAGATCATTCACAGAAAATCCACAACCAGAGTTTCTATGTTCACAGACAGCCACCAGGATCTTCACTTCTGCAAAAAGGATCCAGTAGAGGAGAATAGGTACCCACAACACACACAGGGGCACTTCAGAAGCTGAATTATAAACTATTACACACAACAGAATCAGCCAATCCACAACAGTACACTCTCTGAGCAGTGAGGTGCAGGCCCCTGAGCTGACAAACCAGAAGCTGCTGGTAGGAGGTTTATAGCAACTAGGGAACTGGCTCTTGTGCCCCTGCAACTCAGAAGAGATCCATAGTTAAAGACTGATGGACATCTGCTAAATGTCCAAACCAGATTCAACAAGAATTTTCTTCACCTTGACATGGTATGCTATAAAGTACTCTAATATCAATTTTGATTATATAAATAACTTAACTCGAATGATAATTGTTAACCCAATAGCCAACATTGTACCCTCAACCCATTTGAATATATTCCATCTAATGGTTTAAAACATCAATTGGAATCAATCTACCTATATTTGTGTTCCTAGTTCTAGTTTATACCTGCTTCTCTTACCCACTATACTTGTACTATCTGGTACTACCTCAAATAACATCCATTCATCTATTTCTGCTTTCAACCTTCATGTAAATTACCCTTTTATTCATTCTCATTCTCTCTCTCTCTCTCTCTCTCTCTCTCTCTCTCTCTCTCTCTCTCTCCCCCTAATCTTTCATGCTCTCTCCTTTTAGTTCATACTTAAGGTTATAATAAGTTTACCAAATTTAACAACTAATATTTTAACCTGTTCCAGAATTTTATTATAGGTTTATGCCTGAAATTGAGGACCATAGAGAACAATTGCAGCAAGTTTTTGATCTTATAAGGTTGAGTAGAATGAGGCATGGCTCAGAAGTCATTATAGTAAATAGGGCTCAGTGGCATCTCTTAAAGTGGGGAGTAGAAGAGGTCCCACATTGAATTAAAAAAATTAATTCACAAAATAGTCCTTCACTTAAAAGAAGAAGCCAGAACTATACTGATAGAAGAGTAGACATACAAACAACATAAAAAAGCAAGGGACCAAACCATCCCAAACAACCCAGAATGCCTCAACAACAGACTGTTGACACCACAGCAGAGGAAATGTCAGAGAAGGAATTGAGAAAGTTCAGAGTTAAACTGTTCTATGAGATAAAAGATGACATAAGCAGTGAAATCAGAAAATACCAAGAAGTGAAAGATCACTTCAATAAAGAGATAGAGATTCTGAAACAGAACCAAACAGAAAATCTTTTTTTTTTTAAATATTTATTGTTGGTTGTTCAAAACATTACATAGTTCTTGACATATCATATTTCACACTTTGATTCAAGTGGGTTATGAACTCCCATTTTTACCCCATATACAGATTGCAGAATGACATCAGTTACACATCCATTGATTTACATATTGCCATACAAGTGTCTGTTGTATTCTGCTGCCTTTCCTATCCTCTACTATCCCCCCTCTCCTCCCCTCCCCTCCCCTCCCCTCCCATCTTCTCTCTCTACCCTGTCTACTGTCATTCATTTCTCCCCCTTGTATTGTTTTCCCTTTCCCCTCACTTCCTCTTGTATGTAATTTTGTATAACCCTGAGGGTCTCCTTCCATTTCCATGCAATTTCCTTCTCTCTCCTTTTCCCTCCCACCTCTCATCCCTATTTAATGTTAATTTTCTTCTCATGCTCTTCGTCCCTACTCTGTTCTTAGTTACTCTCTTTATATCAAAGAAGACATTTGGCATTTGTTTTTTAGGGATTGGCTAGCTTCACTTAGCATAATCTGCTCTAATGCCATCCATTTCCCTGCAAATTCTATGATTTTGTCATTTTTTAATGCAGAGTAATACTCCATTGTGTATAAATGCCACATTTTTTTTTATCCATTCTTCTATTGAAGGGCATCTAGGTTGGTTCCACAGTCTTGCTATTGTGAATTGTGTTGCTATGAGCATCGATGTAGCAGTGTCCCTGTAGCATGCTCTTTTTAGGTCTTTAGGAAATAGACCGAGAAGGGGAATAGCTGGGTCAAATGGTGGTTCCATTCCCAGCTTTCCAAGAAATCTCCATACTGCTTTCCAAATTGGCTGCACCAATCTGCAGTCCCACCAGCAATGTACAAGTGTACCCTTTTCCCCACATCCTCGCCAGCACTTGTTGTTGTTTGACTTCCTAATGGCTGCCAATCTTACTGGAGTGAGATGGTATCTTAGGGGGGTTTTGATTTGCATTTCTCTGACAGCTAGAGATGTTGAGCATTTTTTCATGTACTTGTTGATTGACTGTATGTCCTCCTCTGAGAAGTGTCTGTTCAGGTCCTTGGCCCATTTGTTGATTGGGTTATTTGTTATCTTATTGTCTAATTTTTTGAGTTCTTTGTATACTCTGGATATTAGGGCTCTATCTGAAGTGTGAGGAATAAGATTTGTTCCCAGGGTGTAGGCTCCCTATTTACCTCTCTTATTGTTTCTTTTGCTGAGAAAAAACTTTTTAGTTTGAGTAAGTCCCATTTGTTGATTCTAGTTATTAACTCTTGTGCTATGGGTGTCCTATTGAGGAATTTGGAGCCCGACCCCACCGACTGTAGATCGTAGCCAACTTTTTCTTCTATCAGACAGCGTGTCTCTGATTTGATATCAAGCTCCTTGATCCATTTTGAGTTAACTTTTGTGCATGGTGAGAGAAAGGGATTCAGTTTCATTTTGTTGCATATGGATTTCCAGTTTTCCCAGCACCATTTGTTGAAGATGCTATCCTTCCTCTATTGAATGCTTTTAGCCACTTTATCAAATATAAGATAGTTGTAGTTTTGTGGATTGGTTTCTGTGTCCTCTATTCTGTACCATTGGTCCACCCGCCTGTTTTGGTACCAGTACCATGCTGTTTTTGTTACTATTGCTCTGTAGTATAGTTTGAAGTCTGATATGGCTATACCGCCTGATTCACAATTCCTGCTTAGCATTGTTTTTGCTCTTCTGGGTCTTTTATTTTTCCATATGAATTTCATGATTGCTTTCTCTATTTTTACAAGAAATGCTGTTGGGATTTTGATTGGCATTGCATTAAACCTATAGAGAACTTTTGGTAATATCGCCATTTTTTTTTAATTTATTTTTTTTTTAATTTTTTATTGTGGGTTGTTCAAAACATTACAAATTTCTTGACATATCATATTCCACACTTTGATTCAAGTGGGTTATGAACTCCCACCTTCACCCCATACACAGATTGCAGAATCACATCAGTTACACATCCATTGATTTACAAATTGCCATACTAGTGTCTGTTGTGCTCCGCTGCCTTTCC